CAGAAGAAAAAAGTTGCTTTTGTAGCTTTCTGCTTAAGAAAATATTTAAGGCTTTTTTCTGTTACCATACATATGAAGTCTGGTCTGCAGAGAACTTTTCAGGATTTTCCTAGGAGAACACAAATATTTTAGTATTAAATTGGAAGATGATCTGATAGAATTAAATTGGTGCAACCAAAACAGTTGAATTAAGAGAAGAGATCTTTAATCAGAATTTTGGCTTCCCTGTTCATATTCATCTTCTAGGTAAAAGAAAGAGAAGCTTTTTACTTTTTTAAACCATTGGGTAGAGGGCAACAAAACAAACAAACCCTGATTATCCCAAGCCATACAAAGAAGCAAAAATAGGTATCACCTACCATATTTACTGAACTTGAAGACAAGGTTCTCCCCCATTTTACATGGGAAAGCCCCTTGCCTTACAGTCAAGTACTAGGTGGCACAGGACAGGCAGCTGCTGTGACTCTGTCCCCAACCTGGGGTTTGGGTGGGAGCTAGAGTTGCCATTTAGCCCCTGCTGTTTCTGCATACCCTGCCACTCCTTCCCCACAGCCTCCAGTCTTCCCCCTACACTGCTATTCTCCCTCTGCTCCTTCCTTTTCCTCCGTACCAGCAGGCTCTATCCTCACTGCAGCTTGAAGCACAGAAAACACAGTAGCAGTGCCAGCCATGCTGTGTGCCCCAGGCTCCAGCAGGGATGAAGCCTGTTGAGGCATAGCAAAGGTAAGGGGGGGGAAGGGGGACATGTAGAGGCAGGAAGAAGGGAGCCCAGGGACCAGAGGCTGCGGTGGGGCACAGGTGGCATAGAGGAATGGCGGGGGCAAGCTGCCTGCCTTGCTGCCTGCCCCACTGACCCCCTACTGCCTATCTTCACACTGCTCCCTCCATTGCCTGCCCTACCACCCCCCCCCCACACCTGCCCCATTACTAACCCCTCAGCACCTCTCCTCCCACTGCCTGAAGAATTTAAGATGATCCTCCAAGAAGTAGATTCCATACAGAGAAAGTTATAGTAAGTTTTTAAATTTTCCATATATAGAATTAATTAGGGGTGTCATCTTGTATTCAGGTAAATATTTCAGGTCAACTCTGAAATATGATGTGGGCTCCTCAAAATGATTGTTGATGTCAGTGTTTTCAAACATTAATACTATTCACATTTGAGACCCAATACTCTTTAAAATGCATATTTCTAAATTGCCAACTTGTCCCCATGGGTAATATTTAAAATAATTTATTTGGTGGGAAAACTTGTAACTGTCTCTGAAGATGACATTTCTCCATTTTCTCTTACTTGGGTTTCTAAAGCACATCATCCTGTCAAGACCATCTAACACAGTGGTGCCAAATTTAAGAGAGTTGGCAGCCCTGATGCAGACTTCTCATGGGCTGGCAACCAACTTCTGGATCCAGCCTGAGGGGCTTCTCATTGCAGCTGCCAGAGCTGCTGTTCCAGCACATGCAGTGCACAGGAGTTACCAGCAGTGCTCACTGCCACGCTGCCAATTTGCATGCTGAGGAGCGACAGAAAACAATGTTCTGCGGAGGATGGTGTTAGCCTCCTGGGTGCTAGCTGCAGTGGTATAGGGGCTCTGAAACTGTGGCGAGATGCCTCGCAAGCCAGACCCAGAGCTGAGTCAGCCAGCCAGAGCACCATCCAACCCATGAGCCAGATAATACATCTCTCTCGGCTGTGGCATCTTGTAATTTAAATGGTACAATTTTTCCCTTATTTCAGAATCCAGTTAATTTATGTCAAAAGGAAACACTAGTAGGAATCAAATCATGATCTGGAAAAAGGAAAGTAAAATGCACAATCTGAATGTCAGGTAGCAGCAGTGTGCAAGGTTAATCTGATCTAGAAACACCTAGTCATTAGGTTTTGTGTTCCCTGAAGTACCACTTCATAGAGAAAAAGAAAGGTGAACCTACATGTTCCATTTAGATAAGACACTGAAAGAGGCTCGAATATATAAATCATCAAGTATCTGCTGGCTGTGTTCAGAGCAATTTTCCTTTCAGGTTGACTGAGAGTAGCCAGGTACCTGTAATTTAACAGTGATAATGAAAGATGAACAATGGAATGATACAGTTTCATTTTCCAGGTGATTAGTAGCAGTTCTTGGCTTTTCAAGCGAGGGCTCGATGTAAAATCCAAATGCAACAGTCATTTAGAAAAAAACAGCTCTTCACAGATCCTTTGTGTTTCATCTGGTGATGTAACACTGTGGCCTACTGTTCTGGGGTCTGTGTATATTTCATAGTCATTTCCACCCTGTGGACAGAACAGAAAATCTGTTTATTTAGTCCAGTATGGAGATAAGCAGCACAACATGCTCAGGAGGCTGTCTGAATGGGCTTCAAGCTTAATGGGCTGCTGGAAACCTTGGCCCCATTAATTTTGCATTAGTTACTGAAAGAGAGAGCTTCACTGGTCATGAGATAGCTGTGCCCTCACTGCTGGAGCAAGGATTCAGTCCCCTATACCTCTCTGCCCTAGGACGGAGGTGGTCAAGCAGCAGAACACTTACCTACGATCAGCTCCACCCTCCCTCCCCAAACAAGGCAGGAGGAAAGAGCGAACTATCAGTATTGCTCTACAGTTCCAGGGGCTGAAGCTCTACTCCTCCACCTGCCCATCTGGAGATTCAAGCAGGGCAGATCGTAGCAAGTGTTGTCCTGAGGCTTAGTTTTCACTCTCCTGCCAGAATCGAGAGGTACGTAAGGATTTGGGTCTATCTCCTGAGGTGTGGGTGACTTTTACCTGGAGTCCCAGCACTCTGGGTGCTGCTGCTCCCAGCACCTGGGGGGGCAGTAACAGTAGCTGCCAGCCATGGTGCAAGGTGGGCTGCAATGGCCAGGGTGCTGGGAGTCAAGGCCAGAAGCTGTATGTAGCCTTCTGAAAGGTTTCAAATATTACATCTTGCAGTGCCTAACTTCTAAGTACCAAAGTCTTTTACTAGACCTAGTCCATAGCAGCAAAAAGGGGGATTAAATTTAGATTGGGTTCATATTCACCTCAAATCTATTGTAGTTACTAACCAGTAAGAATCATCCATCTCTTAGGAAAATAACTAAAGCAAAATAGAAATAACTAACTAATTTGTTTTATATCATATACTCTTTGAACACAAGATTAATTTAGTTACATTTTGAAAATTTACTGGAACGTGGTAAATGCCCTGTATCCCCTCCCCTTCACAAGGGTGATACTGCTCTAGAAGAGTGGCTTCAAGTCTTTTTGAGCTCGCAACCCCACTCCCTTGGTCAGCCACCCCTAGTTTGGGAATTACTGTCCCAGAGGCATTAGTCTGCACTGCTGAGACTATCCATTACTGTATGCACATGGTAAAGAAAGAGAAATGCATTTGAAAAGCAATTAAAATCACAGTACAGATTCATTCTCCAATGTAACCGATTAAGAAATCTGCTTAGAGAGCTATTTGTTTGGAAAAGGCATTTTAAAAATCTATATGCAGAAATAATGCAGTACTCACTGGCATAGTTTTATCACCAAAAAAATAAATGGTCCCGTATCCATCGTTGGCTACAATCCCTAAACAGTACCTCTTATCCCAACCATCTGGGAATACATCAAAGCTTATCTGGCCCCCTAAAGTGGAGACAAAAACCAAGCAGTGTTAGAAAAACTGTAATCTACACTTATAATGGGGGAGGACTGTGACAGAACTCCAACATGAAGGGTTTTCATGTGCAGAATTTAATACAAGACACACACACTTCCAGTAAAACAGTGAATGCTGAATCAAAAAATGCAAGATAGTGCACACTAATTATTTCAAACATTATTCCAAGCTAAGCTTTAAATGTTGAAAGAAGAGGTTTCAAATATGCACCCAAAGAACTTTAATTCTGCCTAGTAGTAGGTTATAATCCTGTGAAGAAAGATACAGGATTACAAGTAAGGGCATTAATCTTTGCAGTACGGGATTGGATTAAATTACTACTGATATATTTTCACACCTGAAGTATAATGTAGTTAAACACATTTTATTTGACACTTCTTTTCCAAAAAGGGTGACAAACAGTGATTTAGGTGGCTGCTTTTACAATTGTGCCAGCCCACATCACCTTTGTTCTGCATAAACACAAGCTGCAGTCTTATTGGATGGAGCAAAATAAAGAGATGCTTTCACACCCTTCGTCAAACCTGCAGAAACTTGAGTGTGAATGTGTGCATCAGCTTCTTGATATATTAAGTTCACTCACACAAACAAGTCAGCAGAAAACAAGATTTTTTTTTATTTTTTATTAGTGTCAGTATTTACTCATTCAGGTGTTCACTCCAAGCCCTGAATCACCCTGTCCTGAGAGGAGTCAATGCCATAAAACCCCTCAGCTTCCAACAAAATAATGACAGCTTTAAAGGACACTGGGATAACTATACAGCCTCAAGTACAGGTGTTTATACAATAATTTCTAGATATACAATTAAGCCAGATTTCCAACACTAAGAAATATCTTTTTGACTATTCCCTCTGGAGTACATAACACTAACCTTCACTCCTTCCTTTATATTCCACTGTACTATAGGTATTTGTGGGTATGTTCTCCATGTGTTTTTGCAACTATTCATAAGCTTTTTGTAATAAAAAGGGGGCAGTCAGAGCACCAACACCAATAATGCTTTTCACTCTACTTAACTCAGAGTTAATATTTTTATTCTAAATATATTTACAGGGGATTTTATTGTAGGGTCCATATGTCACTGCTTCCTTCAAGTGTGTTCAAACTACATTGTATGATTTTTACTGACATTAAAAAAAGGATTTTACTCAGTCTGTGTGCATGTCTAAATGGAAGGGCTTTATAACAAGCCCTACAGAAATTCACAATTTAAAGGTAAACAGAGAAAAACAAAGCTTAGGAGACAACCATCTGTTCTCTTTAATATGGATAAAGAGGAGAGTTTGGCAACATTCGCAGCGGAGAAGATAGGATGAACAAGTCTACAAAGATTTTTCATTACTGTACAAGTGAAAGATCCATGGGGTATAAATGTGTCTACCTTTGAGTTTCCTTTCTGCTTCACTTCCCCACAAAATATTCCAATTCCTAACATAAGAAGTGAAGAACTACTGAGTATTGGAAGCAGTGCCCAGGCAGTTAAGTATCTGCAATATGAATGGTGCACAGGAAAACCAAAGTCAAGCAGCATCAGCCGCACAAAGGATGTTAAAAGACAACAATCTTAGAGAGAGGAGAGGTAACATATCCTTTGTGGTTGTACCATAACATGCCCAATGAAAGCATAAAAGATTATTTCATCATTTATAAAACACCTGCAGCCAGCCACATTTTAACATCTAAGTTACATGAATGAGCATTATAGCAGGAAGATATAATTATCTTTAAGTGAAATTCTTCTAAAATGTGTACCTATGGAAAATGTGAGACCTTTCCCTGCAAAGTCTCTTTGTAAATCAGCTACAAATTTCTCTCTTATATGTTCTTTCTGTGAAAAAACAAAAACATTGGTTAAATCAGTTCCATTTAGCACAAAACATAAAAATAAACACCAACCAGGGAAATGTGGTTCTGACTTCTTTCCAAGTCCAGGCACACACTGCTGCAGTACTAGTATGAGGAAGCTAGGTTCTGTGCATTTAAGACCTACTTCAGTCTGAAACATCTCCAGGGTGTCACTCCATTACTATGCAAACATATAGCAAGTGAAAGCAGAATCTGACACACTTAAGGATCTCAGTGTATTTGCCGTCTAGTGATGTACGTACAAACTAAGTAATTATACCTTGTATCCTCGTTGAAAATATCAAATTTTTTGGACTCAAAACTGAAATACTGAGTGGTTAAGACCCACATTTTCTAAAGCAGACCCTAAGTTTGGGTGCTACAAACTTTGGCGCTCAAAGCAGTTTATTTTAAAGGCCCTTAATCTCTTTGGTCAGCCAGTAACTTCCGACAACTAGAGCTTCAGCACCATGCCATAGGTCAAAAAGGAGGTAAGTGGCACAGTGGAGAACAGAGCCTCTATCTAAAGCTTTTAAGCACAAAACCATCTCCTAATGGTCCCCAAAGCTGCATTCTAAAGACAAATATTGAACAGTTCTGCCATTAACATTTAGTTTAAAACAAGTTTACAAAGGTTAACTAGAAACGGAGCACTGCCACCTACTTTAATGAGTTTAAAAGTTATGATAGCAATGGACACTATAGAAGAACCTGAGTTTTACAGGAAGTGCTGGTGCAGGATGGGAGGGAAGGAAGGAAAACAAACATCTGAATGAAACACTGGAAAAATATCCTCAAGGGTACTGTGAACAGAGTATCTGTTAGATTACCAGAGACAAAGCAGAATCAGGTGCTCTACCTTCCTGTTTCCTGGATTCAGAGAAAGAGAGTAAAGGAGATTTTGAAAGTGTTTTTAAATGCAAGAAAGGGGTTTTACTGGAAACACCACATGACCCTGACTGCCTGTTAGAACAAGGAGGAGAAGCAGGGATTATAAGGACAAGCAGGTATTTATAAAATTCACTTACTTTATCAAGTTCATAGAACTCAATTCGCTCTTCCTGGCTGCAGCTTCTCCCAATAGGGGATACGTTTAGCATCCCATTTCGGAACTCAATAAAAGTACCCCTGAATAAAACAGTAAACTGTCACTATTGACAATACATATAAATCCACATACACCTGAAAGAAGCAGAGTCATGACTAGACTGTGTAAATTAAATCCTAAGAGTTATGCTTTATGAGCATACCAAAAATGGCACTGATGCAGTGAAATGCTAAGGTTTTTAATGGGCAGGCACATGTGGGCACGCCCATTCAACACATATGACCTTTACAATAAAGATAACTAAGGAAGCGAAATTTGCATTCCACAGTGCAGAGTGCTACTGCCCAAGCAGAAATTTGCTCATGATGCCATAATTAGCATGGTTAGGTATTCTACAAAAGTTTGATAAATATAGTTATTAGGGATCTCTGTAAATCACTGAGGAAGTACCTGCAATAGCTCCTGTAATAATTTTTTTGTTTCACTGCTTGTCCTCCCTCCCACCTGATTGGCAGAGGGGCCCTGCTGGCTGGACCATTTGCTACTGATCACCAGGGAAGTGGAAACAGTGGTTTAAATATGCCTGGTTAAAAAACCAAAAATATGGTTTTGCTTCTCCACTGATCAGCAGTAGGGCTACGGGGGCCCCTTTGCCAATCCGTGGTGGGGAGGCAAAATCCGTGGCATATTTAAAACCATGATTTTCACTTCCCTGGCGATCAGTAGCAAATAGCCTGGCCAGAGGGGCCCCTCAGCCAATCGG